TGGCTGCATTTTCAGTGAAGGCGAGAATGCTGTAGGCCCATGTGCTCAGATTTGGGTGCTCTTAAAAAAACACCAGGTCGTCAAAGTTTCCGGAACCCTCCACTACGGCATCTCGTAATCGTATGGTGGTTTTGGGGCATTAAAGCCCAGATATTTCTACATGAGAAAGTTATGACACCCTTCAAAGCTTTTTCTTCAAAATTGTATTCCTCGTCCCGACTATTTCCTGTTTGCATATTTTACAAGTGCCTTGGTGTACTATAAAAATATTAGAGGTAAAACAGTTTCAGGAAGGTATTAGCTTATGCCCTATTGTGGTTTGGTGGCTGGTAGGAATGCTTTAGCTCGTGTTTTAGTTCAGCTCAAACACACGTTATGATGATGTAACGCGCAACCCAATAGCGAGCTGTACTCTGAAGTCCTATAGCTAAGGTGGGCTGCCAGTCAGCCCACCTAAGATCTTAGGGAGCAGCTCTGGACCATCTAGCAGACCCGTCAGGCAGCCCTAAGACAAGGTCTCAACGTTCCATCAAGGAAGACCAGAGCCTGGGTCTCTTGAAACCGTGAAGGACAATGCAATAAAGTTGCGTTTACCACCATGGGGACTAGCATTGCTGTGTCTTGCCACATATGTTTACTGAGAGGAGATCCACTTTTGGGCTGTGTGACCTGGTACCTACTGGTTCACTTATGTGGGAAAACACACATCACACAAGAAAAGTATTTCCAGAGACGAAGCCACTCAGCCGCTTTGCTGTAAGAGTGCCAAGCATGAGGGAAGAGCGTAGCTGAAACCTTTCATTTCATTTTTGTCGCTCTTTCATCCTTTGTTCTCTTTCATTTTTATTGTATTTTTGTCCCTGCCTATTTGTATGTCTCTTTCAATGTATTTTTGTCTCATTTTTTTCTTTTTCTCGCTCTTTTTTGTTTTCTTGCTTCTCATTTCGTGTCTTTTCTCTTTTTTATTAATCTTTCTATCTTACTTTTCTTTATAACAATCTCTTCCATCGGATTAACTGCTGTTCTCGAATATCTTTTCTTTTATGCCTCTATTTTGTCTTCAGCTCTGTTTCCTACTTTATATGCAGTGCTTTACTCTCTTCCTTCTAACCCTTACTTGTCTTTCGAGCCCACTATACTAAACATTGCTGACATAATAGAAGGATATGTCATGCCCTGCTAGCCGAGTAGTTAGGGCAACCACCTTCGGATCATGCGTACACAGGTTTGAATCCCGCCCGACAAGAAGTTTTCTCTTTGACTCTCTGCGCTTGTTCTCGAGCCCATCATAGTAATTACACAGCGCTCCAAAAAAATTGGCGCACGTGTTATGGGAACGAAGCAGGAGATAAAACAGATTTGATTGATTGATATGTGGGGTTTAACGTCCCAAAACTACCATATAATTATGAGAGACGCCGTAGTGGAGGGCTCCGGAAATTTCGACCACCTGGGGTTCCTTAACGTGCACCCAAATCCGAGTACACGGGCCTACAACATTTCCGCCTCCATCGGAAATGCAGCCGCCACAGCCGGGATTCGAACCCGCGCCCTGCGGGTCAGCAGCCGAGTACCTTAGCCACTAGACCACCGCGGCGGGGCGAGATAAAACAGATAAAACAGAGGACTGCGAGGAAGAAAAAGAAGATAGCGCGTGCCATTTTCTGATGACAGTCTCTGTTCGCACAGCCCGCGCAAGGAGAGGATTTAAAAGCGTTGCTACTAAAATCCCGAAAACACGGTGCGTCAGTGGAGACTGCGTCAGCGCACTTGGGCCCTCGAAGTAGCAATTGTTTTGCTGCTTTGAGAAAAGAAGACACTTTTGTAGAAACGTTGGCCCAAGCGACACTCCATGTATTCTTGCAATCTTTCGCAGTTGCAAAGCTGATTCACAAGCTCAAGCTAATAAAAGCACACATAATATATATCTATTTTTCCGTATGCCATTCGCTATGTGACTGACAAGACCATTACACAGAGACCTTTCTCTGTACCTCCTCGAGAGAACATGTGGGACATGCTTGTGCCCCAGTTGTCCAGGGGTTATCACAGTTCCCTACTGCAGTAATGAGCAATTATTGTGGTTTGATGGCACCAAACCACCAAACGTTAATGAGAGACACCATCGTGGAGGGCTCCAGAAATTTCGACCACGTCGCTTTTTTTTTATCCCACTCGTGAAGCTAAGCACATGGCCCTCCAACAATTTCGGCTTCATTCCATTCTACTTTCAACGGCTGAAATCTACAACAGAGAATGCAAAATATTCTTAGGCTATGTGGTACTGTCTCAATCTGTTACATTCAACAGTTGCTCCCGAAGCAGATACAGTGATTGTCATGTCAACATCGCGGTTGCTAGGCCCTTGCAACGTTGGCGCAGGAAAGCACACATTGTACCTAGAAATAAGCCAACAATAAAGTTATTTTTTTTTTCATTCCGCACACATGCATGCATGTAAATGTCATAGACGTAATAAACTACGGGCTCGTTGGCAGGAAGCGTGCATGAGACAGGGCAGCTTGTCGATCCGTAAACAGTACTATCACTTAAAGAACACATGACATGCAAGGCACGTCTGCGCTTTGTGTTGACTGGTCTAGCGAAGTGGTTAAGAAGTTGATTCCAGTGCGTGCGTAATGGTGCTGTGCTGTTGCATAAAAAGTGTGCGTTTCATAATGTAAACGAGTGGACCTAGTTTGCGTTCTGTGCGTAATCGCTCATCCTTTACACGTTGTCCTGTACGTGTAATTCAGCATTTTTGATCAAGTTTCAACGTGCCCCGTTGTCAGCCATTTCACTGATCAAAAAGCGCTGTCTTCCCTCTCCATTTCTCTTTCTCATTTACCAAAACACCATCTTTATCGAAAGTGAATTCAAGCCCTATCATCAGCACCTGCAAAACCAGTACACAAACGAGTGTTCGTGACGATTTGTTCCGTGAAAAGCATTATTGTTCTGTACCAGAAAAGCGAAGGAGACAAGATAGCGTTATCCTTGTTGCAATATCGCTTAGCGCACTGCAGTGTGAAGACGTTTTAGTAAGGAGCACAACTGAAGCTAAATTCGTGCGTTTAAGTGGTATTTCCCACTTGCAGTAGGATTTTCATGTTTGAAAAAACTAAAAAGAGTAGCTTGTTCTAGAAAGCATCGCATTCGCACGGCTCTTTAGCGACAGGTATCAGGCGTAGAATGTATTTAATTCACAGGTTCAGTTTGGTGCATATTTTAATAATAAGAACACGAGAGTAGCTGGGGCGTGTGTTTAGAAGCCAATGTGATATCGCCTGTACGTTGAGAGAGGATGTTTATTCTTGTCCGCCTCCACTGATATCAAATATTGGAATGACCACATATTCAAATAGACCTCAATTGCAAACGATCGCTGAATAATAAAAAACTAAGTAATTCTATTTTCAAAATAATCAAAGGAAAACTGGCAGAGATGTTTTCACTGAATGCCCTTTGTTGCTTGAAATCAATTGGAAGCGCAAGCCTCTTGAACTCTCAGAAAACTTACTCTTCGTTTGCAAAGAAAATTGAGTGTCGAATATTTGCTACCTTATTTCCAAACCTGTGAAGTGCGTTTTGACATTTGTGTGGCGGACAGGGCATGCCATCGTGACACAAGGTCCATTAGTTTTTGACATATCGGCGGTTGCCGACAGCCAGAGCAAAACGAAAAAAAAAAAAAAACGGGTGTTTGTCTTTGTCAACAACGTCAATTTTTTATATTGCTCTTCAGGTTATAAAACGTTTGTTTATTTTATGACGAAGCCATAATTCCTATGCAACTTGGTTTCGCATTTTCCGTCGAACTTTTGTTACAAAATGCTTTTAAAATGTTTGTAAAATGCTAGCCAGCTTTCGTGTTTTTATTTCGGAGAGTTCGTAGCATAGAATACAAACAATAGGTTGTATGCAAGTTCAAAATGTTTGGTCCTTTATAGTAGGAGGCAACCACAGTTTCTAAAGGTCTCAGCAACACAAATATGGGACAGGCTTTGTTTAAATGGCGGATACGACGCAGCTATAATACACAGTATTTACCGTCGAACGCACTTCATTGAGCAGTCATCGGTCGCCCACCTTTCAAAGTTTCATTGGTGTCATTGGTACTCGAATACGGGTCAGTACGCATTTGGAGTTGTTTAATTCACATGAATTGGGGTTGCGTCATCAGATGTCCAATGAATCGCGAAAGAAGCTTCCTATATCAATGCAAGATGCGTCAGGCTGTTGATACAATGGAAGTAACAAAGTTAGACGTTTTCTCTATGCAGTTGAAAAACTACTTGTACGTGAACATTGTCATGAGAGCTGTAAAGTTTCGATGAGATTTTCGTCTGTCTATTCGACCCACCGGCTCCAGAGAAATGAGATTCGATGATGGTCGGCTACTTCCAGGTTAATAATAATAATAATAATAATAATAATAATAATAATAATAATAATAATAATAATAATAATAATAATAATAATAATAATATATCCCTATGATTCACATTATTATTATTATTATTATTATTATTATTATTATTATTATTATTATTATTATTATTATTATTATTATTATTATTATTATTATTTATTCTACTTATACCTAGTTGATGGATGGGATTTGAACAAAAGGCACTTCTGCATTACCAAGTTCTCACCCCCTAATGTATAACAGACGGTGGCGGCAACAGAACGCATCTGAGAAGCTACAAAACACCGACAAAATCAGGACTTTTACAACCTTCAAACGCCGTGCAGGCAGCAGTAATGGCAAAAAAATGCAATAAACATTTATACAAGCTTAGATCAGAAGTTTCAATATATAATCCACAAATGCACAATGGCTGTAAATTCAACTATTTTCGATTTTTATTGATTTTAGCCAGAACCCAATTAAACCGTTAATTATAGCCTTAACTCGAATTTAGATATTCCGAACCATGTCTTCTCCAAAAAAAAAAAAAAAGAATAGCCTAAAGAACAGCTCTTTTTTTTTACAGGTGTCATAACAGCAAGGGTAGTTTACCCTAGGCTACTTGAAGAACGGTCATCCGACGGAAGAATGATGGTGAAGGTTCACGACGGCTTGACCCTTAACCTCAGAAAAGGGTCAGTGGCAGCCCAGGAACTGCGCGTCCTAATGGAAGAAAATGGACGCCCAGTAACGAGATTCGTAAGTACACATTGCAAGAGCAACCTCTGAAACCCAGCTGAATTGCCGACCTGTTTGTAAGAAGAGAATTGTATGACGTAGAGGCCGTTTGAGCGCTCATACGCAAACGTTTTTGATGGCATCGTAGAAAGTTTTGTCTATCCTCTGAAAACAACGTTCCCACTGGTTGCAGTACAACGGAGAGGATATAGAGAAGGATTTATACGAAGATGAAAAGGAAATTGCCTCGGTAATGGTTACCAAGACTGGGAATGGTGTCCGAATGGCAAGTATCTCGACCACAACTTCTTGATGTATGCAATAATGTGAACATGGCTTTTCGTAATGAAAGCTTCGAGAACGTGTTGCACACACTAGACCGCTGAAAAGCGAAAACAGCTTCATGTTAATACGTTGTTGTACAATCGTGAACCAAACTTCTTGCTTGACATGAAAAGTGAAAATATGGGGCTTATTTTCAATGACATCGACGTGCTTAGCCGACTGCACATGACGTCACAATGCTCCCGCAAGCTTCCATAATAGACGTCCATCAAATAGAAAGCTGACGTTATTTTGATGAACGGGTATCTGATTTCTCATCCAACAGCCATGTGAGTTAGTGATTGCTACACCAGCCCACATTGCGCAACGTGAAATGTGCACGATGTCGACCATGGCGGTAATAACTTCTGCTCAACTTCGACTGAAAATATTTTCTCGAATATTACCAGTGCTAAGTTATGCACGCTAACTGATGACTAATGCATATAGTGTTTGTTGATGTTCGTCACAGACTTGTATACCCCCAAACATCTCTCTTCACTATACCTCGTTCAATAACCAACTCGTGTACAGTATGTCATATTCGTTACTGTTTCAGGAAGGGCTGCTTAGTCCCAGTCACCGTATAAAACCGGCGCCAATCTCTGAGAAGTCCGAAGACGGCGCTGTTGCCCACGAGATTCACGAGATTGAATACAAAGAAATGCTGGACAAAGCCCTTTACTACAATAACGGTAAGGGGATTTACACTAGACTGTATTAAAATAAAAGTTCCGTAAACAGCAACATCAGAAAACCTTTATTTATGAACTGAGTGCTTGAAAGCATGTGTTATGCAATGTTATTGCCTGATGTACAAGCTACAATGTTTATTTTCAAAATGTGCACTTCCACGATTTGCATACTGCTCACTAATATCAAGTTGTCGAATGTCATACTAGCAAAACGCAGTAAGTTCATTGTCCAGCAAACGACCTGGATCATGGATGTATGTTAAAATATAAAAAAACTCGTACATATGTGGGTCTATTACTAATATATATTGACTTCTTCGCACACGCTGAGAAATAGGACATGCAAATCCATATTAAAAGTACCCGCATTGTAGATCTGAAGCCTGTGCTTGGTTTTACGTACGCGATGTTTTAAACCCTAGATAAAATAGCCCAAATGACTTCATACAAGGCGGGTATTACAATCGGAAAACTACAGCAATCACAATCGAGACGTACTTTATGTAAGAGAACGTACGTTCATGGTGCAATTCAGCGGAATAACGTCAGCATACCATTCTTAGCAGTGTCACACTTCAGGCTGTTGTTTAATGCATTTAGCCTCATCCCCCCCCCATGTTATCGCTACACCACCGCTATTGCTGTCAAAAGACCACGAGTTTTTTACATGGTCAAAGTAATACACTAATTACCACTATGTACAGCGTAGGAATAAGGAGATGAGATGAGACAGTAATTAAAAGATTAGAACATTTTTCGCAGCGATCATGGGGATACTTCAGTTTACATATGTTATGCCATGTGTCCCTGTGTGCTTTTATGCAATGCAGAGTCGTCAGCAAGCTTCCCATGAACGCTAAGACGCGCGCCTTGCAGGCTAGTATGACTGACGCCAGCTGCGATGCGCTGAACGCTGTCGGCGGGATAATACCTCGGTACGCTTGGATAGTACGTCAGCATGCATGAGTATACATTATAACAGAACCCACAACTACACGGCGCTAGCGTTAATCGAATTGTTTCAGGACACGTTGGGGAGAGTTCGTTTTAGGCTTGCTCAGTACTGTACGTAGTGTTATGTTGTAGGCTATATTGTTATGTACGAGTTGCACGTTTGCACAAAATACCACGAAAAAACAATGCCACCACTGAGAGTCACGGCATTAGATTCACCTTCTGTTTACCAGCCTTTAGTTAGCCGAAATTTTTTAAAATTATGTTACAAGATAGTGGAAAGACAAATTTTATCCCGTATTGGAAAATTGGAAAAAGAAAAAACTCGTTCTTTAGAGAGGTGGTGCATACTTAACAGAGAATACACGATTCAATATTTCTACCATGTGTGCCCAGGCTCTGCGTGTACTAACAGACTACACTTGCATTGCAGCTTCAGATGGCGTTGCCAGTGGATTAGCGCTGGAGTCTAGAGCTAGCGTTCCTGCGAAAGTGACCGTTGAAGTGTTCATTGTTATGGACTCATGGCATCACCGCCACTTCCAGAGCACGAGCCACGCTCTGGGGTATCTATGCATCATGATGAACTCTGTGAGTGTGCTTCACTTTTTTTATAGAGGACAAAGTGTACGAATGTTTATACTGTTCACACTATATGTGTTTCGAATCCGTCTTTAGCGGCAAGTGTTGCATACTAAAAAAAAAAAACGAACCAAGCTTCAAACGCACAATGTGAATATGAAAAGCAGGTGGAGATCACTCTGAGCGAAATATCGCTATATATACATCACCACGGGATAAAGAATCTCATGTGATCGAAAATAGCAGCCTTTCGCTATGACGCCTCCTAGCCTGACAGCCTCGCCAATAATTTAAGGAAGCTAGAAATTTACGTAAATTTTCGCTATTATCGAAAGTCCGAATATAATAAAGTGTTTTTTTGATAGTTTTGAGCGTTTGCACTCTGACAAATGTTGAGTTGAACACCCCAAAACAGATGGCTAGTCAACCGAGTTACTATGATCATGTAAGTGCGCCGGTCTTAAGGGGGCAGGGTAGAAGGCTCATCACAGCAGCCTGCCTCCTACTTAGTCAACGTATGAGGTAGAATTCGCTCCCCCCTCTCCCCGCTCATTTAGGTCACTATGAAGAGCAACTACCCCCCCCCCCCTCCCGTCACCCGTGTTGAGGTGCGTGATTACGAGTTATGGCGTGCCTAAATGAAAATCTGCGCTTCTGTGCGGGAATTTTATATTTCACGATTTTATGCATACTTTTGTAGCGAATGGGTGCATTTCCTGACATAGAGATAAGTATCCGGTGAGATACGCTGATGTTTTTATTGTATAATGGCTTCGCATGTGTCGTAACAGAAACTACATTTTTAGGAACATTCGTTCGTCAAACAATGTGAATCGGACTACAGGTTTGAACTGACCTAAACCGACATTTTGAGGTCCCATTTGATGCATATAGACGAGATATACTTAGCGCAAGAAAAAAGCAGCACACTAGAAATAAACACAAGGAACAAGCCGACATCAGAGTACCGATGCCTCCCGGTGTGCGCTGTGAACGGTAAAAGTCACTACAGCTTTTGTTCGACAAACATGTTATGGCAATTTTCCAGCATATATATCAGCTTCATCACACACGACGCTGCCACGCGACTAATTATCCGCTTACACAAAACTTGAGCGTCTCTATTCTAAGTTTTTCACCTGAAATATATGCAGCTCTAGAGGTCGCACTTAAAGGCAAAGAAATCAGCTGCCCCCCCCCCCCCCCCGAACATACTACTAAAAAAAAAACTAATTTTTTTACTGCATTCTCTCTGCTTAGGCGAACATGAGATACCAAGATGCGTCAAATCCTCAGGTACGACTCCTCCTAACCGGCACCGAAAAAGCTGTGGTAAGCTGACTCATCCTCAAATACACTTTTCGTGGTAACACTGCAGTTACCAACCCTGAACTTTTCTATTGGCCTCACTTTCGTCAACAGGGCGACAGCTTCGTTGTGTCACCAAAAAATGACAATGGCTATCTGTTTGATGATAGCACACTAGCCAACTTCAAAACGTATGCTGTCTCGAAGAGGACGCAGTACGGTGACCCAGATGTTGTGTTTCTAATAACAGGGTACCTTAATTTTTGTCCTAGATGATTCGACACGAATGATGTATGATTAGTCACAGTGTACGTAATGCGTATTTTCTGTTTTTGCAGGCGTGACGTGGTCGCAGTTTACGAAGGCAAACTTACTACCGCAGGCTTAGGTGAGTAAAAGGGGAATGCACATGCTTTATCACTCGATGCTTACGAACGTAGTTACATAGCGAAGCAGTATGGCGGTGTGCCTTATGGTGCTACTGGCAAAGGCGATAAAAGAACGCCAACTTCAACGGGATATATGCCACTGCTCACCACAGACAGCGATATTGACAGCTAAGTTGACAGCTGTCATCATTGATCCTGTTCGAATTCTCACATATCCGATAAAATAAAACGCTTTATAAGGGCCATGACAAGGTCATCCAACTATCCATGGCTTTCAGCTGAGGCTGGAAGTAGTGGGTTAATTATGCCTATAAAAATATGAAAGCCGCGCCACAAAACATTTCAGTGCAAAAAAAAAAAAAGTCATAGAATATGCCTGCCGTAAACTCCGAACACCACCGGTGACCGCCATTTCGCCATGGCGCATGTGACGTCATGAGCTGGAAGGAGCGGGTCCATCATTTTCTAATGACGTTTCACCCTCGGCAAATTGTTCAATTTCAACGCCAGGCTGAAAAAAGCCAAGTTATCTCGATTCACGTGCAGCTGACCCCGGAACACTATACTGGAATTCAGGCGCTCGCACAGGAAGTCTCTTGTTACGTCACAGCTCGCTAGTGAACCAGTGCAACCCGACTTCCAGGCCACCCACGTCCTTATAAAGATATTTATAAACTAGGTGCTTGGTGAGGGTTGGACGCTAGGAGTCGCAGAGTGCGGACGCACGTTGTGTAGGCTCCGCAGTTTTCAAATGATTTTTGTTAAAAAATTGCAAAACTTGGCTAAAGTCTCTACGCCAATCGACGGAGGAAGTTCAGCCGAACACCTGGATACCAACTATTGCAAGGTGGGCCCGCTTTTTCGGCACTGACACCGAAAACACCTTTTCGGCACTGACACCGATTCTGAGTCGCCACGAAGATCAAACATTGCGTCTGCCGCCGCAGCGGCGGGGAGAGCTAGGTCCAACGCGTCGACGAGGACGCCTGGGGCGACCCCGGAACGCCTCGACGGCGCGTCTAGCACCACGATGGAGGTTGTAAGCGTGGAAGGAGAAGATATGCAACCGGAGGACTTTACCAACGACGCCGGATGGTGCGAAGTCCGCAGAAGAAACATCACGAAAACATCTGGAGGGATTTCAGGCCCGAAGAGAACCATGCTAAGAGACGCTGCTGCGCCGACGGGCGCGCCTGGGGACAGCAAGTGGAAAGGTGAACGAACCATACGACAAATTGCTAATGCAAGCAGACTTCCTCGTCTACCGGCAGAAGACTACAAAGTGATCGTGCGACCACGAGGAGGACTCAGCGTTTCGGAGCACAGGCAGGCACGCATATACTGCTGCCTGAGAAACGCCGCTGGCGTCGGTCGCGAAGCAGCAGAAGAAGACAGTATATGCATAAACTACAAGCAGAATATCGTGGTCGTCAGCACGCCGTCCGAAGAGCGAGCCAGGCGGTACGGAGCCATCACGAAGATCCGAGTGGGAGAGCAAGAACACGAAGCCAGCGCCTACAGAGCAGCGCCGGAAAACACATCTAAGGGACTCATAAGAGGGATATCCCAAGAGGAAAGTTCCGAAGATATTATAGACAACCTAGTGACAGCAAGAAACCCAAGCATATTACACGCGAAGAGGATGCGCAACACAGACAATGTAATCGTGCTCTTCGACGGACTACACGTGCCGAGATACGTGAAATACGGAGCGCTCATCGTCCGGTGCTCGCTATACAGAAAACACATTGACATTTGCTACGAATGTGGGAGGCTGGGACACAGGGCGGACGTTTGCCCCAACCCAGACGAAAAAATATGCAGAGGATGCGGCGTGGCCAACCCGCCGCAAGAACACCAGTGTGAAGCAAGATGTCAGCTATGCGGCAAGCTCACTTTACGGGAGACAGACGCTGCAAGGCAAAGTACAAGATACCGTATTTGGTCCGGCGAAGACGCTGGGAGCGACGAAGAAGAGAAGAAGCGGAGGCCGAAACACCATACGGCATCAACGACTACAACAAACGAGCTGGCAAAGCAACGAGCGAGAACACCCAGGGATCAGAAGGCCATCGCACAGAAGGCTCACCCCCGGGACCATACGAGGGGGACAGTCGGAAGCAGCCCGGTCGCAGACCAAGGTCGAGGACCCGGTCCAGAACCCGTTCGAGAACCCGATCGAGAACCCGATCGAGATCCAGGGCAACGTCAAGATTGCAATCCAACCGAGGAGCGGTAGAAACTCAGGCACAGGTGAGCTTTGCAGACGCGGTCTCTGGCACTGCTGTTACACCTACACGCGCGGGGTCCGCCTTAGAAACGGAAATAACACAGATCAGACAGTTGTTAGAGCAAATAAAGCGAGAAAACGCGCGCTAAGGGAAGAGGTTGTAAAAATTGCTTAAAGTAGAAACGCTAAGCTTAAGAACCCAAACACTCAGAGATGACCCACTACCACGCCAACACCCATTAGGGCGTCGACACCTCTTCGAGCTCCGGCGACGCCCGTTCCCGCGTCGATGAGTGGAGAAACGCCACCGCATAAAGAAGGGCAAAGGAGAAACGCCGATGACGCAAAGCGACTCTCACTCGGAGAAGTAAAAGATGTTTCAGGAAATGTTCGTAGGTTTACAGGCAGCAATTCATGCAGAGCGCGCGACCTACAACAGCAGATAACGCAGATGCGAGATGAAATGTCTCAGAGGTTCGACACCCCTCGAGGGTAGGGTTAGGGCAGCTAGAAAACGTCTCGAAAGACGACCCGACCAGCAGGAGCGAGGCCGGTCAGAGCAAGCCGTACAGCAGACCACCTGCGGCTGAGAACAGCTGCATAGGAAAACTCGAGTAGCCAACATGGCGCCGCCTAATGAATACACGATTTGGCAGTTGGAATTGTCGTGGGTTTTCGTCGTAAGCGGGGTAACCTGCAGCAATTCGTAAAAACCAAGCAGCACCAGATGTAATCGCCCTCCAGGAAACTGGGGGGGACCGCAAATTATCAGGATACAAATCATATAGCACTTTAGCTGAAAAGCAACAGTAAACACACTGATACATCGTAATATAACGGCTGTGAGAACACCGATACTGGCGTACGCAACATAGACCACGTCCTACTAGAAATTCTCCCGTCTCGAAAAAGGAGGGAAGCTTGTTTGTGTTGAACGTGTACAGTCCACCACGACAAAGGTAAAGTTTGGCTCGCTTTTCCGCAAAGTGCTAAACGTAGCGGGCAGACAAGCACTGATCGTCGTGGGCGACTTTAACGCACCCCACGCCGCCTGGGGTTACACCATCGAAAACGTTAAAGGCCGCAACCTGTGGAACGACGCGCAGCACGAGGAGCTCACGCTAATAACTAACCCACAAGACCCTACCAGAATGGGGAACAGCGTCAGTAGAGACACCACGCCGGACCTTACATTCATAAGGAATATATCCAACCCTCATTGGACCAACACTAACGTAAATCTAGGCAGCGATCACTACATTGTATGCACAATTTTACAAGCAGGTCCGCGTAAAAAGAAAGGTAGAAAAATAATGCTAACCGAGTGGGACACCTTTCGTAAGATAAGAGAGGACGATGCTACAGAGACCATCGAAGATATACAGAAGTGGACAGACACACTCCAGCGTAGCGTGCAGAAAGCCACCAAACATGTTCCCGAAGAGGCAGGAATGGAAGAAATGGACAGCAAGCTCTTACACATGTGGGAGGCAAAACGCAGCCTGCAAGAGCGCTGGAAAGGTCAAAAGCACAACCGGCGTCTAAGAAAGAGAATCGTCGCGCTCGACAGAGACATAGAAGACTTACGCAAATAGGCTGTCCCAGCAGCAGTGGGCAGGCATGTGCACTTTTAATGAACAGGCAGTTCGGAATGTCCAAAACTTGGAACATTCTCCGAGGCACTCCTTGATCCAGAAGGCACGAAACAACACAAAGACAAAACCTGCAACGGATACTACACAGCTACGCAGGTACAGAAGCAGAGCTCTTACGCGAGCTACGCCAGACATACGTAGGAGATGCCACAAAGGCGCGACTACCAGAGTACGAAGGGAAGGATAACGTCGACCCTCGACCGCCTCCATAACAGAGGCAGAGATTCGATACGCACTCGGACGACTCAATCCCAAGTCCGCCCCGGGTCCCGACGGTATAACAAATAAAACACTTCGCAACTTAGATGACGAATCCGTCACTGCTCTCACAAAGTACATAAACGAATGCTGGGGAAGGGCGCATACCCCAGCAATGGAAAACCGCCAAAATCATATTAATACCCAAGCCGGGCAAAAAGCCGCTCATCGGAAATCTCAGGCCCATTTCATTGACGTCCTGCATTGGAAAGCTCATGGAAAAAGTAATTTTAACGCGTCTCGTCAGATACATGGACGACAACGAGCTATACCCACACACCATGATCGGCTTTCGACCAAGACTCTCGACGCAAGACGTCATGTTGCAGCTAAAGAATCAAATCATAGACGCCGAAACGCACACCCTGGATACAAAAGCTATTCTGGGCCTTGACCTGCAGAAGGCATTTGATAACGTCACCCACGAGGCCATATTGCGCAACTTGCAAAACCTACACGTAGGTCGGAGAGTGTACGATTACATAAAAGATTTTCTCACCAACCGTAAAGCTACAATCACGGCCGGGGAAGCGGAATCCGAAGAATTCGTTCTAGGCAACAAGGGAACACCACAAGGTTCGGTGCCTTCCCCTTTCTTATTCACGTGGCGATGCTTGGTTTACCCTCAGAGCTGGAACGCGTCGAAGGGCTTCAGCACAGTATCTATGCGGATGACATCACCCTATGGGTGACGGGCGGGAGCGACGGTCACATAGAAGAGATTTTACAACAAGCAGTAAATACGGTAGAGCGATACGTGGAGAACAATGACCTAAAATGCTCTCCTCAAAAATCGGAGTTATTACTCTACAGACCTACAAGCAGAGGTCGCAAGCGCATTCACGAACGACACAAC